CTTGTTGTGTTCCATCCTCCTTGGATTCTCCCTCAGTGTTTGATGTCGAGTGTTGCGGGTCCTCCCCCCGGGTCGGTTCCTTGTCACCTGTGGTTCTCTGTAAGAAAGCTGGTGCCTGTGCTGACGGTGCCTATTCCTCCTGGAAGAGGCTTGGATGAGCCTTAGAGCTCGTCCTTCATCACGCTCCATCCTCCTTAGATTCTCCTTCAGTGTTTGGCGCACAGTGCCGCGGGACCTCTGGCGAAATCGGCTCCTTGTCGCCCGTGGTTCCATGAAAGAAACCTGTGGTCCCTGCTGACGGCGCCTGCTTCTCCTGGAGGAGGCTCGGATGTGCTGTCTAGTCCTTGGAGCTCGGCCGTTGCCACGAGCAGTGTTCTGAGCCCTGCTCTGCTGCCGTCTCCTCCTGCTCAAGTGGTTGTAGCCTTGGGCCTGCTGAACCCTGCCGTGGCCATTGTGGTGCCGCCTTTGGTGCCTTCTTCGGTTCGTCTCTCGGGCCCCAGCACGCCTACCGCCCGGGTCCCAGCACGGCTTCTGCTGTAAGAGTTGCGGTGCTGGCGTGCTGAGGAGCGATGCCACCTCCATTCCTCAGAGCTGGATCCAGCTCTCCCTCTTTGAGCACGGCTGTTGGAGCTGCTGTGCTGCCCAATAGAGTACATCTTGGAGGCAGTGTCTCCCACCGTGCAAAAGTAGTGTGGGAAAGACCACTGGCATATTGGGCAACCTACTCTTCTGTGGAACCACTCCACTAGGCAGGAAAAACAGACAGGATGCCCGTGCAAGCTCGCGGAGGCTCGGTCAGTTATGGTGTCCAGGCAGATTGGGCACCTTAGGCTCTCTGAAACACCTGGGGGTGTGGCCTGGGACATGTGGTCGGTGGTGGCAGCACAAGAAGAGGTGCTGCCTTCTGCCAAGTCCTCCTCCAAGTCCATCTCGCCCTGCAAAACAAAGAGATAAGAGGCTGTTGCGTCCACCTGTGCGAGGGACACAATCTGCAGCAAAGCTGCCAAAGTTGAGTGCTAAAGGACTGCTCTCTCTGCCTCGGGGCTGCGTTTGGGCTGCCACAAATGCCAGAGATCATCCTGGGACAGGTGAGTAACACTGGGGTGTCTTGGTATGTTCCAGCTCTCAGGGCAGGATGGTGACTGACCTCTCTGACACGTGCAGGCAGGAGTTGGGAAGGTGTGAAAAGGATTCCTGGCCACTCAGCAATGGCAGCCGGAGCCTGGGTACATGGCAGATTGGGACCAGTGTCCTGGGCCCAGCCAGTGTACCTGTCTGGCAAATCCTCTCTGTGCCCTCAGAAGGCACCCAGCGGGCTGGGTGTCCTTTGTCACCCCAGGTGCAGATGTCTGTTTCTGATGGAGGAGGCCAGGCACTGTGGCCCTTCAGGGCGTCTCCACACCTTCAAAAGGTATGTTGTCAGGTGTGTCACAGTGACTCCCTGGTGACATCACAGGACTTCCAAGACCACCTTTCGGCCTCAGAGAACAAAACCTTGCCAGACAGTTCATCTTACAGGACTGCCGATGAGGGAGCAGAATCCCTTTGCTTTTTTTTTCCATATAAATTTGGAGGCTTCACCAATCGTACCCAGGCTTGTGTTCTCTTTTAGAAATAAACCATCTCAAGGCATTTCTTCCTCTTTGACTGACTTTGCAGGTCAAGGGAGTTGATCCTCCCGCTTAGCTTAGTTCTGTTGAGGGTACAATTGGAGTACTCTGCCCAGTGCTGAGCTCCCCAGCATAAGTCAAGATGGACATAGTGGAGAGCATCCAGCAAGGGTTTACAAGAATGATAAAGGGAATATGAGGAAGGAGCTAAGAGTGCTGCTTTCAGGCTGTTCTACCTACAGAAGACTCTGATGGGTATTTTTTTCAATGTAAATCAATACCTGAAGGCTGGGTTGAAAGAAGACAGAGCCAGACTCTTTTTAGGGTGCCCACTTTTTCCCTCTGAACATTTGAAACGTTCCCTCTGAACATTTGGAACCTTTCTTTTACTGTGATGGTGATGAAACACTGGCAGAAGATTTCCACGAGTGCTCGTGGAGTCTCCCTCCATGGAGATGATTCTGAAGACGTGTGGCTATGGTCGTGGGCTACTTGCCACTTTTCCCTGGAGGAAACCTTGTTGTATCTACTTTCCTCACTGCCTTTCAGTACAATAATCCATGCCCTTCAATTCTCGGTTTACATCCTAGCCCTCATCACAATTCTTCCTTATTTGCTTTTCTCACTGTGTTTGACCTTAAGTGCTGCTTGACCTCACCAGAAATTGTCTCTCTGTTGCTTTTCAATTCCTGGAGGAAACCCCACTGATGTTTCTCACTCCTCTGATAATAAACTGGGACTAGCTCTTCTGGGCTTAGAGGTCACCCCTTCTCATGTTCAGTATTGGAAGTGTCATGATTAAAGTGCCAGAGGTTGTCTAACTCTTGATAGATCTGCAAACTCTTTATTTACATAAATCTGATAACCCTACTGAAGTAGTGTTTCATCAGTTTTGGCAAAGACACCTCTTTTGTTCCAAAACATTCACGTAGTCTCAGTCACAAAGAAAGTGCAAGACTGGGACTAGTTGCAAGGGCTGGTGAACGTTTTGCAGGTGAGCAGTTAGTCCTAAGCTTTACTACCCCTCCCTGCTGACCATACAGCATCTTCAGCACTTTTCCAGAAGAAGGAGTTCTATTGGATTTAAGGCCACTGACATACTGGCTTGTATCAGCAATAGTGTGGCCAGCATGGCCAGGGCAATGATTCTCCCTGTGTTCTTGGCACTGGTGAGGCCATACCTTGAATCCTATGTTCAGTTCTGGGCCCCTTGTTGGAGACCTAACAGGTATTAGACCTGAGAAGCAAGGAGCAGCTACCCAGCAAGAGGCCTCAGAGATAACCCTGGAATCTAGTAAACGACTGTCTTTTTTAACAATCGGTCAGATAACAAAAGTGAAGTGTGTTAGGGTGGGGTGGACATTGGCAGCCCCTCATTGCAGGACAACGAGATGCTGGAGCATATTCAGAGAAGAGCAACAAAGCTGGTGAAGGGTCTAGAGCACAGGTCTTATGAGGAGTGGCTGAAGGAGCTGGAGTTATTTAGCCTGGAGAAGAGGAAGCTCAGAGAGGGCTCAACACTCTCTACAACTACCTGAAAGGAGGCTGTAGCCAAATGGGGGTTGGTTTCTTCACCCAGGCATGTAGTGACAGGACGAGAGGGTGTAGCCTCAAGCTGTGTCAGGGGAGGTTCAGATTGGATAATCAGGAAGAATTTCTTCACGGAAGGGTTTATTAAGTGTTGGAATGGACAATCCAGGGAGGTGTTGAAATCTGTGTCTCTGGAGGTGTTTAAAAGACATTTCGGGGTATGGTTTAATGGTGGACTTGGCAGTGCTTAATAGCTGGACTCGATCACCTTAAAGGTATTTCTCAACTCAGATGATTTTGTGGTGTTCTAGTGTGATATATGTGTACATGTAGATCGACTTTCCCCACCTCTTTTAGAATTATCTCAGCAGTGTTCACAATACGTCTGGGAAATTCCTTAATTTCATTCCAGTACTTACAGCACTTGCAACACTTCTCCCTCTGTGTTTACCTTGTCTCTCCCCTCTGCACCCCCATAGCACAACCCTTTGTATAATTGCATTGGATCTATTTTCGAAGAACTTTCTATCTATTAGACCTACCCAAACTAAGTATTTTACTGCAAAGAATCAATATTTAAGCTTGTGCTTAATTGATGGTTACTGCTTTCCAGGTTAATCTTTCCCACTGAATGCAGTATACTGCTATTTTCCAGGTATATTAAAGTATTTTATAATAATGAAATGTGCTTCTGATGATTTTAGTGATAGTAAATAACTTTTTATTCCTAAATTAGGAAAGGTATATCCCATCTGAGTTTTTTAGGTGTGTTCTCTGAGAGGTTTTAAAAGAACTTATGACTGAAACATTAGTCTGCTGGTGCAGGCTTTAAATAAATAATTTGGCATAAATATTTATTAACAAATCCTGACATGGGCTGTTCTCTTCATTACGTTTTTCCTTATGCTTGTTGTAAGTCAAAGAAACTTGTTTTAGTGTGATACAGATTGCTGTTGCTGTGTTACTCTTTTCCATTCTTGCTTTCTGGTCCTTGAAACAGCATGTTTCTGAGACCCACAGCTGTCCCTTTCTAGCTATAAATCAGTTATAATTAACTCATTATGAGCATTGCCATTTTCTCTGCTGTCAACAATGTCACTGCTGTAAATGCAGCTTTTTCAAAAGTATCTGTGCTCTCAGGGAGCTCTCAGGCACCTATTAGATGTTCTTTGCAGGGTGATAATTTCAATTATTTGTTGTTACCTGTTCATTATAGAGCTTTAGGGAATAAATAATTCAAAACTGTTCAACCTGAATATATTTTTGAGGGTTTTTTGTAGATTTTATGGAGTGTTCTACATATTAGCAATTATTATATATATAAAACACAATTTTTTACTGCATTTCTTAAATAGAGAAATTTTTTTGCAAGAGTTAGCTTTATTTCTTATTTTATACAACCTTCAGTTAATTCAGAAGAATTTGAATGGAAACTCAGTAACAAAAAGAAGTTTCTTCAGTTTTCTGGTACTTGTACTGAAAGGTTGCCATTGCAGTTAGAATCCAGTTCAGTTCTGGCAGGTCACATCTACAAAAAGCGTCAAGCTGAGATGATGTGATCCCCTTTAGAAGACTGATAGATGGAATTGTAAGCCTCTTCTATTCCTACTCCCACTGAGATCATTTGGCTTCCCTTTCAACTGGGGAAGAATTAGCTGAGAAGTGCAAGCTGTGGACTGTCATCTTTTCCTCTCAGCGCTGGTGACAGTCCAGTTTTTTCAAACATAATAGTACATACCACATGAGTGCAGACAGCACAGGTGTTCAGTACACAGTTTGTATTATAATTGTGTAAGTTTAAAGTTCCTAAGGATGATAAATATCATGTCACTGATTGCTCTGTTTTTTAATATTTTTCAGAAATGGAAAAATTTCAGGGTTCTGAAGGCAAGAAGGAAGATGAAGAAAAGAAATATCTCGATGTTATCAGCAACAAAAACATAAAGCTGTCAGAGAGAGTTCTGATCCCTGTCAAACAATATCCAAAGGTACTGTAAATATAGCCTAACACTTGTAGTATACAGGCTTTGTGATATTAAAAAGAAAAGAAATCAAGCTCCTACTTAAATTTACCTATTATCAGCTATTACATGTTTTAACTTATGTCTCAGGGCCTTTCAGAAAAGCTGTTGAAGTGAATGAGATTTTTTTTCAGGTAGGTTTTGTAGATTATCCTTAGGCAGACCATTGATCTTTTTTCTCAGAGTTGCTTTTTCACATGTACCATTTTTTTATAAATTTAAATACCAGTTAACAAAGAAAAAAACGTTTCAGTAACTCTGAAAAGCTTCGTCATAGAAGAGCTGGGTGATTTTCTCTGGTGTAAGAAGTTTTAGAAGATCAAGTATCAGGATTACTGATTACTGCAGGCTGTAACTATGACAATGTTCATCTTTGTTTATAAAAATCAAATGTCTTAGCACCTTGAACTTTCTTCCCTGTTCTCACTGCTGCACACTCTGATTTTAAAACAGGATTTTTTTTCTTGACAAAGAGCCCCAAATCCAGCTGCTTGTCAGAAGTTTTAGTTTTTTATTTTACAGAAGAGAATGTTGATTTTTTGAGGCTTGAGTGTTTATTTGGTTTTCTTGTACAGTGTTTTATTTTACATAAACAGTTGTTCTAATGGTATTCATACTGAAACGGTAAACATCTCCATTTGTCTCCAGAGTGTTTTTTCCTTGCCGATTTATTATCACATGATATTTAGTTCACCATTAGCCTTGATTACACTCTCAGCTTTTTACTTTATACTTTCATCAGAACAATAAATTACAATTGGTAAAAAGCCAATCAAACAAAATGAAAGGTGTAAAAAAATTGAGATTCAATGATTCCATCTGACATTTACCTCCTGACTAGTGAATATAAAACTGATATAATGTAATAATCCAAATGGTAAACATCTTAGAGACACATACAGTGCTATAAGGAATTACTTTCTTGCTGCATAGCCTAAATTGCTTTGGCTAGATTTGTGGTATTTTGTGTAAATGCTGTAGGTGACCTGAAATTCTTAGTAAAAATGTAGTCATTCTGTAACTTCATAATGGCAATGTGATAATTATTCAGAGTACTGTTTGATGAAGATAGTAGAATGAAAGACAAACTATTTAAAAGACAAAATGCAATAATCTATTCAGTATAGCATCTGAATATGATTGAATTAAGCTTCATTTACTTTAATGAACCTGTCATATTAATGAATAGAAAAAAATATAAAGCATTTTCACAGATTTAGACCAGTGAAGCAAAAAAATCAGTTTGATGGAAATGAAATACTTATTCAAGAATGAAAATAAACTGGAAAGTTTCTGTAGTTGATTTGCTGGCAATATTCTGTACCTGGCGTGGAATTATTCCCAGAACTGCAGGTTTGCTGCTACCATCTCTGGTAACCGTCCTTCAAGGATTCCATTTGCCATTTGTATCAAACTGCTGCAAATTGCTGTGATCCACTGTCTTATGAGTGATCCAGTGTCTTATCCAGTGTTCAAACTGCTGATTGCTGTGATCCAGTGTCTTATCTTTTCTTGAAAATTGTATGCATAAAAGTAGTTAAAACCAGTACCCAGTGGTTGCTTCAGATTGCTTTATAAATAACCAAAAAAGTAGGAACTCAATTAAAAGAGGATTAGTATTATTTATTGGGTAGAATATGGTTATAAGAGCAGTTGATGAGACTTACATTAATAAACAGGTAAGATTATTACCATGTAATTTCACCTGAGAGGCATTTATCGCAAGCTCACAGAATATGCTGAGTTAGAAGGGATCCACAAAGATCATTGAGTCCAACACTCAGCTATGCACAGGACCAGCCCCAAGAGTCACATCCAGGGTTGACTCATCCCAGATGCAGAATCCAACACTTTCCCTTGTTAACTTCATGTGGTTGGTGATTGCCCAGTCCTCTTAATTTTTGGAAGTCTCTCTGCAGGGACTCCATGCCTTCCAGGGAGTCAACAGCTCCTCCCAGTTTTGTGTCATCAGCAAACTTAGTATCCCTTCCAGTCCTGCTTCAGAGTAATGTATGAAAGTGTTCAAAAGCACTGGGCCTAAGATGGAGCTCTGTGGAACCCCACTAATGATATGTTGCCACTCTGATATTACCCAGTTCACTGTTACCCTTTGTGATCCAGCTGTGAGCCAATTGCTGCACCCACTACATGATGTGTTTATCCAGCTGTGTGCTGGACAGTTTGTCCAGAAGGATCCTGTGAGAGACAATATCAAAAGCTTCACTGAAATCCAAAAAGATTATATCAGCTGGCTGGCCCTGATGAACCAGGTGGGTTACCTTGTCACAGAAGGAAATCAGGTTTGATAAGCAGGACTTTCCCCTCATGAAGCTGTGCTGGCTGTGACCAGTGAGTGCACTGTCTTGCAGGTGTTTTTCAGTACTTCCCAAAATAATCTTCTCCCTAACTTTTACCAAGCACTGAAGTGAGATTGACAGGCCTCTAGTTTCTAGGCTCCTCTTTCCTGTCCCTAAACTGGGACAGTGTTCGCCATCTTCCAGTTAGCTGGACCTTCCTCTGGATTCCCAAGACCATTCAAAAATCATTGAGACCTTTTTTGGTTTATATTTGTAAGAACATTATTTTAAATTATTTGTTCATTGTTTGCTGATAAGCATCTGGTCAGTTTTGGGTTTTGCAAATCTGAAGAAAGTGTCCTAGAGTATAAAATTTTGAAAAAAAAATTTTGCCCAGTTAAAAACTACTAAAAACCAATCACATAGTTTCCTGACTCTCTATTTAGGAATGAATTCAATTCTTGAAAAACATTTACTCTTACTTTAACTCCGTGTATAAGTACAAAGTTCTCAAAGGGAACCCTTGGCCTAAAAGTTTATTATGATCTGCAGGTTAAGCTGCAGTGATGGTAGATCCCTTCAATAACAGCTGTAGAGTCAGAAGCAGCATTTTAAGGTCTGAGCAAAAGTTAACACAAAAGGCTTCTAGTGGTTAAACAACTCTTGAAGTTGCAGAATAAGTATTATAAAATTGTCTCTACTTGAGTGTCTGCAGTCTGATTTTTGAAATTGCTGGTGTGTACAACAGGAAAAGAATATGAAAGACTGATTAGCACCAGCTGTCTTGCATTACCAATTCTGTTAATGACACCAGCCTTTCCCCTCTTCTGTAAAATCAGGATTTAAAATAGAGACAGAGGTGTTAGTTGATACTTCAGCAATGATTTCTATGAGATGAATTATTTTAAATACCAGCAGCCCAGATAAAAGCAGCATCTCATTTACACACATTCCTCTATGCTGCAGATATTTTTAGTACATTCAGATTTTCTCTTGAAACAGTGATTCCTTGTCTTCTGTTTGTTGATCCTTCTTTCTGTCCCATAACACCATTTTTTTCTTTCATGATACGTGAATTCCAATTAAGACTTGCATGAAAACACCTCAGGGTTTGTTCGAAAAGATTTTAGCATTTATCAGTGTAATGTTGTATTTCAAATACATCAAATATGGGGAAAGAGTGGGTTATTAAAAAAAGAAACCAGCAGAAATCTGAAATTACCTTGTTACTGAAAAACAAAAGACACAATTTAGAAGTTTTATGGGAAAATTTTTCATTTGCATGGCAATACAGATTTTTGCTCTTTACTAACCAATTGTTTGGCTCCCATTTTATTGCATAATCATCATCTTTCTTTGTGATAACTTGTTCAAGAAGCATGTAAACTGCAAATTTCTTCCTTTGTACAGTTTAAAAACTTGAGACTTGTTTAAAGCCTTGGCTTGATGTAGCACATAATAGAGAAATTTTTTGTTTGCAAGCTTGTCCAGTGCACGCTGTTGTTGAGTTTGGTGAAATTCTGCCACCTTTATGCTTGGCTTCAGCTTAGCTGGATTTCAGCCATTAAGGAATGGCTCAGTTTGTTAATTTCTTTTGCTTTCTTTAAGTACAAATATATGAAATATCTGACAAATGAGAAAAATAAGCAGTACGCGCATAAAAATCTTAAATATTGCAGTGCATCTGTTGTGGTTTGACCTCAGCCAGCAACCAACCCCCATGCAGACGTTCACTCGCTCCCACCAGTGGCATGGGAGAGAGAGACAGAAGAGTAAAAGTGAGAAAACTCAAGAGTTGAGACGACAGTTTAATAGCTAAAACAAAAGTTGTATATGGAAGTGAAGCAAAACCAGGAATGAATTCACTTCTTCTCACATGCAGGACAGCAGGGCTTCATCATGCATAGCAGAGACTTAGGAGGACAAACACCATCACTCCAAACATGTTCCCCTTCCTGCATTTTCCCCCACCTGTATATGCTGAGCATGACACCATATCGTTTTCAATATCCCTTTGGTCTGTTGGGGTCAGCTGTCCCAGCTGTGTCCTCACCCAGCTCCTTGTACTGTCCCCAGCCTTCTCGCTGGTGGGGTGGGGTGAGGAGCAAAAAAGCCTTGAACGCTCTGCAAGCACTGCTCAGCAATAACAAAAACATCTTTGTATTATCAACATTGTTTTCAGCAGAAATCTAAACCACAGGTCCATACTTTAAAGAAAATTAACTCTTCCCCAACCAAAATGAGCACAGTATCTTTTACTATTTTAAAGATTCAGTGCTGAATATTATTTGTTTATATTGATTTATGCTTCATAAACTCATGACTTCAAGCGAATATCTTACACAAACTTAGCATTGCTAAAGATTTCATTGTGAAGGGTGAGCTTTTCCATTGATGTTCTGTCTTTACATCTGACTCAGACAATTAGTATGGTGATTTTTATGGTGATTTAGCATTCTCTTTCTTTTATGTGTTGTTTCTCTCAAACCTGATGGTTGCTATTATGCTTTCAAAGCAATTGTTGCAATATTAATCATATGCAAGTGATTTGTGTGTTTAGTTCACTTTTAAGTAAAATAGGAAAAAGAAGATCTAGTACTATGTCCATTAGATGGAGAGGCGAGAAAATACAAGATTCCTAAGGAAAGTAGGACCTGGGCTATTAGTCAG